AGCTTATCTAGGTCATCCACTGGGTCACCAGTAAACTACTCTACATATGGACCTCCATTAGAGGACACCCTTGGAAGTGGCCACGGGGCCTCCAAAGCCCCCGGCCTCGAGCTGTGTGATGCTTTGCAAGTGGGCCAGGTCCCACGAAGGACATGCTCCAGAACCAGATGACCCAGGCATCCACAGAGAGATCACGAGTTGGGTGAATGGGTGGGAGAGAGAACTTGAGACATCAGTTCAATTGTTTCCCCAAATTCCCCAGTTGCCAACGTTGAACATCTATGTATCAGCACGTGTTTCACATTGCCTTGAAAATCACGTGTTTCCGCTCCAAACGTGGACCTGTCGTGGCTGGGTATGTTCAAAATTGGGAGACCTCCGATCGCCTTGGCTGGGTACACTGGTCTATTTCTAGGGCATAGCCCAATACCAGCGACAGTTGGCCTCAGATTATCATATAGATTATCACTATTGTTTGAGATTTCGGCCTGCAACTCAATCATCATCATCCACTGAAACCTGCTTTCTCTCATAAGGCCGGTCCGGCGCCAGGTCCGTGTGGACCTGGACGCAAGGCTTCGGAGGAGCGAAGGCAGCCTGAAGGCCGGGAGGGGAGGTGTCTGGAGGCCACCAGAGGCGGCCGGAGTCGCGTGGAGAGAAATGGGAGGTGTGGCGGGGCCTTGGCCAGAAGTGTGAGTTGCATGCAGGCAGGATTGCCGATCGTGCAACGGGATGAGGTCTAGTAAACCTAGTAAACCTGTAGCAGAGTGGTCGTGCCTAGTGCACGAACTTATCTCTGAATGCTGGACTGGTTTGATGCAGGTGCAGGAGTGCAGTGCTTTCTCAACAGATAAATTCTGACTGCAAAGATATGTCCACTTGGTCAGTTTTTGGCATCTTGTTCATTGTGATTGGTTCCCAAGGCTTACCTCACAGGATCAAGCATGTAGGAGCCGTGGAGTTGTGGGTGTATCATTTCCCGCTGTTGTTCTGAAAGCGTTCTTTGTTGGCCCATTGGTTTGGAAGACGTGCCCATTTTGATTGGGACATGACAAGGCTTGTCCTCAGTTCGCTTGCTTCACCCGTAGCTTGTCATGAGCTCTTCGGATTTGAACGCTGACCCCCCCCTGCAAACCATGGGGTTTCTGGACTCCGTGGACCATGGCCGCTGGAAAGAGGTTCCTCTACAAACAGGAGGTTGTCCACTTCCATGTTTGTTCCAGGGAGGGTAGATGGTTTCCTGATTCGGAAGAGGGAGCCCGGAGTATTTCTTTTCTTTGCGAGGTCGTTTCAGTCTCTTTGTTGCTGGGTCCCAGCTTGCGAGGACTTAGTCAGCGAGATGAAACGCTTAAGTGCACAAAGATATGAAGAGGTCGAGGCTGGGCTGCCCAGACGGGGGAAATCAGAGGTTTGATGGCACAAGAGGTGTGATGGCACACAAGCACACGGGCGGCAGAGGCATCACTTCCATTGTCAGATTGCTGGCCTTCGGGGGGGGAAATTTGTTTCTGACATTGTTCTATGATAGGTCGTGAATGGGCACAATCTTTCGCACAAATCATGTAAGCCGAGCATGACCCCGAGCAAGCCGAGAAAGTTGTTGCTGGGGGCATGTGCTGAAAACCGGCAGATCAATTCTGTCCAGAAGCTTTTTTGCATTGCAGAACTGATCATGCGCCACTTGGCACAAGGTCACTAGGTAGTTTAACAGATGTGCCCGCGCGTTCTCTTGTGACGGGCCTTGTTGCTTGGTGCAACCACCCTGGGCGACTGGTTCTGCCCATCTCCGTGCGCATCGGTGGACAACAACGTTCATCGTGAGCACGGCGTGGTTTCAGATGGCGCAATCCCCAGTTCTGCGCCATGTACACCCTGGAAGACCGTTGGTGGAGGAAAAATAAGGAAAACAACCTTCCAGGGGGGCCATTGCCAGGGTCTATGTCATGTTACCCCTGCAGGTTCACATGGAACCTGAAAAATGAACCTTAGGACGCTTTGAAAGACGATTTTCCTCGACAACTACATCCCGACGTGGTTTTCAGATTCCATGTGAATCTGCAGGTTTTAGTCTCATCTTCGGGAGGTGCACCGGGCTGCATATATAATCAGTAGCTTTCGGGAGTGCATGTTCTTTCGTTCCTCGGGTGATCGATCGTCTCGCGAGGCCATGGATGAATGAAGCCATGCCCTTGATTCATGTCCGCTGGCATCCGTGGCACGGCAGAAGCGACCCAGGAGGGCTGAGCCACTGTTGGTGCAAGACAGCACAATCAGAGAATTTCAACATAAGATACCAACTCCAAGTGCTTCATCCAGGGCCGCTGGGATTTGTTTTTCTTCATGAAGCCCAACTTGGAAAGCACTTAGGTGACCCATAGAGGATCATAGGGGCATGTTCTCGCTGGTTCTTGGCATCTCTTCTGAGGTCCTGGCTGGGTCTAGCCCAGCCTCCCTTGATGTATGTGCTTTCAAACGGGTGTAGGGAGAACTCTTCCTTCTTCAGTGAATGCAATGTGAAAAATCCTGCACACCTTGCTGTCCTCGTTATTCCATTCCGGGGTCTTTGAATCGCGATGGCGTAAAGAGCCTTGAGTATAGTATGTCTCCATCCTTCTCCGGTTTGCTTTGGAGCTTGGCAGCTGTCTCGTCCTGGTCGAGATGTTCTTATCGGCATGGTTGCTCGCCCCTTTTGATAGCGTTAATCCAGAGCGTTTGTGGACACATGCCCCATCCAGGTTAATTAGCTTCAGCGTGCCACAGGTGCAGCGTCTAATGTGTGTGCGCTGGCCCTGCGATCAAGTCGCAGAGCCATTAGCACAAATTGGAAGGTGGAATCAAAGTGAAGAACATGTAACGATGCCTATTTTCGTAACAAGCAAATCAAATCATCATCTTTGAACAAGGCCTGCAACCTAACCATCATCATCCACTGAGCCCAGGTAATCGGATAGACCCCAAACTATACGTTGTCCTTGACTGCTCTGACGACCTGGAGCCTTCGATGGCCCCATTCCACCCTCCAAGCCCACGGCCGAACGGTCGTGGCCGGGCCATGGAGTGCCATGGAGAGTGGCGCTGGTGGTTTTGTGGCGAAAAAGGAGTGCCAAGAGTCACGACAATGATGTTGAAAGCAGACATTCCCCAGATTGAAGTAGTGGGACTCGAGAAGGAATTAGAAAAGGAATGAAAAGGATTTCTTCCATTTGATGTGCTGGGTTTCTTCCATTGACGGTGGTGTTAAAAAGTTCAATCGCGTCATGAACACAACGGCCCGGAACAATCCAACCTAAGGTTTGTTTTCTTGCGCATGGCTCATAACTCATAACCTAAAGATACTCGAGACACCACTAATTCTGCGCTGGTGCTACATGTCTCCAATAGAATGTGATAGAATGGGGCTCTTGAACATTGGAAACTTCGAATGCAAGTGCTCGTTGCTCAGAAAGATGTTTGCCATTGGAGGCACTGCTTTGGAGCCAATACGAGTTTGCTTCCTGGGTTGTCGAAGCAAGCACCTCGTAGAAGGTTCGATGTAGACCTTCTTGGCGTGGATACGCCCATCCTCGAGCATTCCGAAGCACGTTTCATGCCTAACGACTGACAGAGCCAGGCCCACTTCTGAATGGCCCAAGAAGGCACGCAGCGGGCTGCCTGGCCTTGTGGCGCGGACGGTCTGCGTGGTACGTGGTACGGACCGGTGAATTGTTTGGGGGTGGGACTCCCAATCCTTTGAGAGGCAAAAGGGCCCGATTGGCAGTTGACTCTGCAAGAAGATAAACAAATGTATGTTTGAGTTTGTCTCAAGATGACGTGATGGTCTACAGATTAGCCATGTTGGACCAGGGCAGGCATCACAAGGTGCCGATGTATTCTTGCAAGCTGCGATGCAAGAAACAGTAGAATACAATAATATTGAGTTTGTGGAAGGCACCTGCATTTGCTTTGAGTACATTAAGGCCCAACCCAATTCTCAAATGATCATACGTCTTGCTAAGCTATCATGCATAACTAAGAATGGCTCGAGTGGGTGCCCGACCCCTTTGCCAAGAGACTACACCAGAGCAGACTCCATTCCTGGCGGGACCCTCCCTCCAATCATTCAAGCTGACCAGGACCCCCAAGAAAGAGGGATTCTTTCAAGGAGTGTCCCAGTTTGCCCGGACCTCGCATGACCTCGCAAACACGGAAGTGGACATGTTTGGGAGATGTTCCCTGGCCATTTTTTTAGCAGCCATGCATATCACCCAGACTCCATGTATGGATATGTATGAGGCATGTTTAGAAACATTTACAGATACATTGGGGTGGTTGACCTGGGGTTAAATGTAGGTACAGATTTTGGCATCTATTCCGGTCCCATCAAACCGGTCCCATCCAACGTTTGGGTCATCAACCTCACCGACGACCACGTCGTGCTCGCCGTGCCCCCGTCAAGCCCGCAGGGTCGGTCGAGGCCGGCTTTGGGGCCCATGGAGTCGCGGGGCTTCTCCGAAAGCGCCGGGCTCGCCGGTCTTCTACGCGCGACGCGGACGCGGTGGGTGGGAGCATGCGGGAGCCCATGAAATGGGGGCGTCAGGACAGGTGGAAAGTCGGGATGGGTGAGGTGCGATGGAGGTGAATGACAATGTGGTATGCCCTTTTTGGGGGGGAGAAGAACAGAAGAGATGAGAAGATGCCAGGGTTGCCAGGAGTGAGGTTTGATGATATGTGCCAGAAGTAGGTTTGGACAGTGAAGAGCGGACGCCGGTGCAAGTTGGTGGCGTTGCAGGGTGAGACAAGGAGACCGTCCCCTCCGTGAAACAAGTGGAGAACCACCGGTTTGTAGATGAGGCCACCGCCTTCTAAGAGGCCATGTTCCACTTCCAGGTTTCTAGGAGGGATACCTACAAGCTTCTTGAGCAGCAGACCTTGAGACGAAGACAAAAAGACATAAAAAGATCGTTGGGCGGGTGTATGCCACTGAGCGGGGGTGGGTGCAGCCTGGTGTTTGGGACGGGTGCAGCTCGGCTCAACTGGAGTGAAGACGAGTCCACTCATTTTCATCATCTTTTCACCATGGGTCCCATGAAGTTCGACGATCTCGAGAAGACCGCGAAGCTTGGCCGGTTCGCATCGTTTTTGGGCGACGTCCGAAGGGCTGAACCTGGGTGCCCAGAAAGTACAATTCATTGATATTAATTGCTAGCTAGAGGGTAGTTGCAGTGGGTGGGTCACTCAAAAACTGCAGCTTCTTAGTTGAAGCATATTGAAGGGTCTTCCAATGACACACAGGTTGTTTGGATATGTTTGGATTGGTTGCTGGTGGCCAGCAGAGCCTCATAGTGTCATAGAGGCGTTTCCAGACCCCTCGCGAATCCGATGCTCAGGAAGGAGGTGTTGTCGGACGACTACCAGACCAGCGGCTATCAGCTCCTCAGCGCCCCAAATGATCTTATAGCAATACTTACTTAGCACGGAGAGCGGCATAAGCCGATGGATTTTCACACACAAAGGAGGAAGAAAGAGGACAAGAGGGAATCAGGACGTTCATGTTGTACGTCGGCTTTGCGTGGACATCTCCTCAGATCTCCACGAGGTTGATCGATTTTGTTGTTCCGAAACTTGTTGCATCCACCATGGAAGAGCCTTGGGGAGCAGGGAGGGGAACCCCGTGGACAAGTCTTTGAACCTCCAGAAACTGCGGAAACTGGTTGGAAGAGGACTGGACGACACAATCTACACATACCTACACAACAATAAGCCTTAAATCCAAGAATGAGCCCTTGGACCCCTTTTTCCCTCGAACAGTCTCACACCATTGCTTGTATTTTTGTGCCTTGCTGCCTTGGCTTCGCTGGGCCCTTCTCACACTGCGCGCAGCGGTACGTAGCGAGAGGTTCAAAGCCAAGCAGAAGACCAGCTGGCAGGGCTCTGTGGTCACCACAGCTGTGGACCTGGTGCCTGGCAGCTACTTGGATTCAGTGGAGGTTTTGTGAGTTGATGGAGTTAGCAGGAAAGAACTGCATGGGTGAGGCAGTTGGCATCATTACTCTGTCGATATCTGGACATATCTGGTTATCAATGGGTTGCGATGCCACTTTGGGGGGGGGTTGTCACGGGTTGTCTTGTTCAGCTGAGAGCGAGTCGACTGGAGCGAGTCGGCCTCCCGACTATGGGTCAACGGGGACGGTCGAGCGGTCGGCGAACACGAAGAACAGACCTTTGGGTGCGTGAAGATCCTGGAAAAAGACCTGTCTATAGATGTGGGGGGGTTGGACTTACGTAAGGACCTTTTTTGTGCACTATGGCACATCAGATTTCACCACCTTCCAGGTCAAGAGAAGAGAGAATCAAGAAACTGTTTCGAGTCGAGTTGAGCTGTAAACAGCTCTGAAGTTTTAGCTCTTAAGACAGCCCAAACATGTCAAAACGTCGAAAGCGAACCTGATCCTGAACCAAGCAAACTGCCAAGGCAAGGATGGAGTGTTCACTCCTTCAAAGCTCACGTGGAGGCTGGCTCTGACGGATTTCGGCAAAGCTAGAGCACAGGAGCACAGCTTGGACATCATGTGGGGCACCCCAAGAAATTCCATCAGCAACCCTTCAAAGTTCTTGAGACACACAGTATTTACAGTATATAAATGTATATAATATAATTGAAATTGTGGTTCATGACCAGACGACCAGACATGCCCAGACTGTGGAATGCCAAGAGTAACCAGCAAGGGGCAAGCGCGGGAAGGAGCCTGATTCGAAGCGGAGATTCAATCAGAAAACCAGTTTAGCTTGGGCGCTTCGCATTGCAAAACTCAACTTCAGTGGCTTTCCCGCAGCAGAACTTCATGTCTTCAGCTGTTTCTGGACTTGGACATGAAAAGAACTCCCTTCAATTCAAGACCCTGAGCTTTTTCAAACTCATGAGTGCCCCTGATAGACCTTTGATCCCCCCCTGTTGCACAGGCTGCCCACACCAATGGGGTGCCCATTCTTTGTGATTGACAAGTTGGAGGTGGACAAGAAGGGCTGCTCGCTTGGCCATGGCAGACCCACGGAAACACCATCCAGCTGTTGAACAGCTGGATAGTTGGGGAATACTTCATAACACTCCCTCACCACTTGGAAACTCAATCTTCATTGAGTATCCATCGTCATGACATCCAAAACGCTGGTCACATCTGCTGCTTCTTGCTCTCGGAGAAGCACTCGTCACATTTTCGTCAAGTAAGGTGGCATCAAGCTCGAGACCTCTACCGAGAAGGCTGTCAAGGGCTTGAAGATCGAGGCGCCAAGTCAGTCGTTGCTTGTGAAGCCGTCGTTGCTTCGACCGGCCCTGAAGACAACGACACGACCTTTGGCTTAAACCGGCTATAAGTGACGTTAAGTGCATGTCCGCCTGGGGGGGGCCCTTCTCAAGCCCTTCTTCCGGGCTTTGGGTAGAAATTGCTTGACCTTCATACAGGGAGCGACTATGCATCGGAAGCCGCCATGCATTGGGGTCTCAGCATGCTCAAGGGTCGCCAGGGAAACCGGAAAACGGAGCGGCGGAGCGGGTCCTCGAAAACAGGAGAAATGCCGGGAAAAACCAGCTTTCAGGAGGTCTACATCTAAATGGTTTCTAGTTTCTCTCCACAAATTATAAGACTATATTGTACTATAGTGTGATACATCCAACTCACAATCAAGCAATTCTATAACAGTAATGTCCCCCCCCGAGGTCGTGAGTTCCGTTCCTTCGCAGGTGAAGCCGGAGCTCTCGGATCCTTTGAAGACCAAGAGCACCCTCACCTACACCGCCCTGAAGGACGTTCGTTTGGCCTTGGACACCAAGGGCATTGAGGTGGGGCGTTTGATCGAGGCGGTTCGCCTCCCAGGTGGTATGGGTGTGGGGGGTCGTGGACCTCCCTGGAAGTCGAGATATTACCAATGGGTGACCAACAAAACTGCTTGGACTTGATGGAGTTTGGACGTTTTGTGGAGCCCCCCATCCTCTCCCCCCAGAAGTGGGAGGCATCTATCTTGCCCGTTGTAGAGGTGGTCAAGGGATATGAAATGGAACCACCTGGGAGCGGGACAGGGAGAAGCTTCAGGCTCGAACGCCTTACAAGCAACCTCTTTTGTCCTCTTGATGCAAGCCATGGAGAAACGACTCCTTAACCTGAGATTTTTCACACTCCGATCCTAGAGTCATATATGAAGACCATGCCACTTGCTGCTTCTCCCAGTGATCCATGTTGATCCCTGAAACTGGCTTGATGCCAACCATCTGAACATCTCATGACATGTCTCCATACCAAGGAGACTCTCACCCTATTATCTTAACTAAATTATCCAATTACATACATATAATATATCATATATCATACACGCATCAATTGAAAGGCCCTGGGCTGGGCCGCAGCCCTCCTTCTCCAGGTCAAGGACTTGGTTGGGGAGCTCACCTACCAGCCCTGCGCCGCAGCCATCCTCGGCGTGAAGTTCGCGGCGCCCTGGTGCCCCGATGTGGGCCTGCGCGCCACCCACGGGCCTTTCTTCGCCTCCATCTATGCCAAGGAGATGTTCAAACAGTACTCCCTCAGTGGCCTGGAACAATGGATGAAAGATGCTCCTAAAATGACTGGATCTTGGATTAATATTTGACTGACATATAACTCCCACCATTAAATCATTTGGATTGAAAAACCTCTTTAGATGAGTTATCTAATCAAGATAATCAAGATCCTACATGAATATCCTATAGGCTTGCCAAGGTGGTCCATGGACCGCTCTAGGGGTCCATAGACGGAGGGCGGTGGGAAGGAACTCAGCTTTGTGGAGGACGTGTTGCAGATTGCAGTGTATCCAGAAAAAAGGGTCGTGGTGCGGCGGTTACTCTGGGAGGGTAAGCAAAGAACAGTGCAAAGAATATCTAGCGCAGCGCCAAGGTCACCATTAGGTCATTGCAAGAGTCCTACAAAAAGTCAAAGTGAGGATCTTGAACGCGAGAAGGTGGTGCAACAAGGGGTTGTGTGGGAGAGGATCTGGAACAATGATGAATGAAGACCTCAACAGATTTTGATATATAAATCTTCATGCTTGGCCTTCCCCAAAGCAAGTTAACCCGATCTTCGATTCCCAGCCGGCGAGGTTGCCACTACAAATACGGGGACAACTTCCGTGTGGCCGGCAGCTACACCTGTGGTGGCAAGAAGGGTGGCAGCTGCGCACTTGGCCTGATGTACTCCTGCAACAAGAACACAACCATGAAGGTTGGGGGTGGGAGGAGCAGGGGCGAAGAACTCATCATGTCATCTGATGGTCATAGAAGATGCTGTCGCAAGTCGAATGCACGGATGCTGAATAAAACTCCAGTGCTTGAGGGAGCAAGCGCATCTGACTCAGCTCTTTGCTGGAAATTGGGGCTGGCTAACCCTGTTTTCTTCCCTTGCATGCTTTGCACTTTTCATCATGTTTCCCTTCGCCCCATCTGAAGGTGGAGAAGAAATTAGAAAATCACTTCTTCAGACTTAATTTCTTCACGCTCTATCAGACTCTATCACTCCAATCTCCCGTACCACCGCCTGCACGAGCACTTCCGTCCTGTTTGCTCCTTCTCGAGTTGAAGATGGAGCGGGATATGTCCGTGAGCTGCGCCTTGAAGCAATCCTTGGCCAAGGGCTTCACGCTCACCGGCGGCCTGAAGTACGGCATGCAGAAGGGCCACTGGGCAGCGCAGCGTTCAGTGCTCTTCGCGGTTTTTGTCGGCGCCACCGCCGGAGGGTGGTGGATCATTTGGGTCAGTTTCGCTCGGGTAAGCGGGGAGAGAATGGTAAGGCCTGGTATAAGGTCCACTTCACACTGCGGCGGTGGTGGGATCGCTAGCCGGATGCGTCGAAGAGATCGCCGGTAGGATGGGCGTCGCCCCCGCAGCGGCCGGAGGTTGAAATGAAAAAGCTTTTGGAGCCCCAACTGGTTGCGTAGTGCTCGTGTGATCCGATGGAAAACGGGCGAGATTGAATGACCTGATCAACTCCTCGGCTGATCACTCAAGGACATCAACTGCAACATATCACCAGTTCTGAGGAGTTGGTGCAATTGTGATGACCTTTGTTGGTGTCAACAATGGCAACGGTTTGACGTTCTGTTCTGTTTTTGCGCCAACGAGCAGGGCTCAAGGTTGACAACACATTCCACTGGCCCTTGCACGATGCATTTAAGGTGACTACACTTGTGGGTTGCAGCTGAGCGTGGAGTGAGCATCTGGCCACAATAGGTTCTTGAGAGGGTGAGATGTGCAAGGGTGTGGAATCGAGTTCAATTGTGCATGCCGTATCTAACATGGTTGAACCAGTAGGAGAGATGGTCTTTTGAAGGAACTCTTGGAATCTTAATCAACCATCATCAACCAATTCGAGATTTGTTGGGTAGTGGACCCCCCATCAGCTTTGCCATTGGCACACAGCTGCCGTTTGACGAGCCGGTTGTCAGTGGGCCACCGGACCATGGCAAACTGCGGCCCATCTCTGCCATCGAGGCCTCTCTCTGTGAGGCGGAGGGCGAAATCTGAGTTTGGCAGGCTTTCCTCACCGATGGTGGTGTTGTACTCTTTGTTAGTCTCGCCGGCACGGATCCTAGCCCTGCCAGGATCGAATTTTGACAAGATGGATGCAATTTGAATCTGCGACCGAAATGCCGCGTCCCTCGGGAGCTATGGGGAGCTATGGGGAGGTAGTCTCTTCTGAGTGGTGGAGGGTGATATGTAATGCCGTGCTATACAGTCCTGGTCCAGGTAGCACCAACCGCTAGCGAAAGCACGGTGAAAGCAGCTGCTGTTGGCTTTGCCAACACATATCCCCGATGACTCCGGTGGATCGAAAGACACGGTAGCAGTGCATTGTCATAGCTTTCTCCCCATGGCCTGAAATATGTACAGTGGGTTCAGAGTAGATGGCACACTCCCCAATGTCGGTGGTGCCAGTATGGACCCCCATCTGTCTAGGACATCTTTGGGTTTGTGCCATCTACTCTGAAACCACTGTAGAAAGATGTGCTGCGGCAGGTGCCTCAATCATACTTAATCAATGGACAAAGTGACCGAAAGCTACCTTTGTTGGGACAACCCAAGATCTGCCGGTCGAAGCGGATGCATCCTGTGGCGATCATGTTTTGGAACACGTCGAGTAACTCAGACAGCAAGAGTGAGCCGCTCGGATGCCGGAGTCGGTGCCGCTCGGATGCCGGAATTCGCGCCAGGAGGATGAGCCCGAGCAATCGGCGGAGAGCTGGATGGGCGACAATCTGAGCTGAGTTCTTTTCGAAGGACACGTTGGACACGTTGACCCAAAACATGGCCCAGCACGGGTCTCAGACCAGACGGGTCTCTTGAACTCGCAACTCAAACTCCCTCTGAAAAGCATTGGCTGTTGCATCAGGCATCACAACCGGTGCTTGGCTGCTGGTGAACGATGGTTTTATGTTGTAAATTGTTGTAATAATCAGCTTGCAGCGGTTGGCATCCTTCTCCAGCCTATCTTCTTGACACGTTGCCCAAGGTGGTGCGGGGTCATCTGCCAAGTCTGTCGGAGTCAATGCTGCAGGCGGGTAATGAGTCAGATCTGGCAAACTTCGTCAAGAATGCCAAGGGGTCACAGGTGACAACCACGCTGCTTCAGCCTGCCCTGGAAGAAACACCTGAGACACTACAACTGAGGTACTGTCATCTCTAGAGAACAAGACTCCCCATAGATAGATCCCTAGATGCTCGAAGATCTTCATCTCACGGTAAGTAACAGTAACCATATAGCAACCGTGGCTTTTTGTCGGGAAATATCAGCAACCGGGTGCCTGGGCAAGGCGCAAGGTGTGGAACTTCCGCCATTTGCCCAGCTCCCCCCGTGACGATCTTGTTCTCGACCGCCTCCCGCGAAAGCGAGGTGCTCAGCTGCAACAAATCATCAGGACGTCCCCCGTGATTCCGTGACCGACCAGGGTGGTGAGGGGGTTGTAGAGGTCCTGTGAACCAAGTTAAGACGTTCATGATTTCCCGTACCTTGTTGAGGACTTGTGTGTTTCGATATGTTTCGTACTCAAAGGCAACAACACAATGCTTTAGGGCAAGGTGAGGGATGTGTGATCCCTCTTGGAGCGGCGCTTGTTCTTTCTGTTTGCGGCGGGTCGACAACATATTAAAAACACATGAGAGACATTGAGAGACCATGTTACGTCCTTGGTCTATCTAACGACGACTGGCAATTGCCCGGTCTCCGACTGTTTGGAGCTCCCCAAGTAGGGGAGGGCAGGGGTGGGCAGATCCCGCCGTCAAACAGCCAACCAGCCTCAGCTTCCTTAGGACTTAGGGGTCAACAAACACCAACTGCTTCCCCAAGATCAACACCAACTGCTTGCACAGGAAGATCTCCACTTTCGCATCCCAGCGACGAGTGCATGATGTGCGGGCCCTGCGAAGGGTTTTTTCTCCCCGATCGCCCCGTGAAGGTTCGGGCTTGGTGTTCACCCTTTGCCGAGGCCCAAATCCAGCGCATTGATACCTCAAAATCCTGGAGACCCTCTGCTTACAAGGGATCCCTGGAAACCTGGATTATGTTCACTAAACATCCTCAAAATCCTGGGTTGGAATCTGGAAGGCTGCTCTCGACCCCCGTGGATATCTGGTAAGTTCAGGGCGATCGAGCGCCCGAAAGGGCTTTCCAAACATTCGAGTCCGACGGCTGTTTGATGGGGATCGGTTTTCGGGTATTACGGACGTGTGGGCCCTATAAGGATGTATGCAGGATCTTTCGTGTTTGATCTGAAAACCTCCGGCACGGTTCTCGAGGTGTTGAACTCAAGCTGAATCCTGTGCGAAGTCTGCATAAATTTCGCATAATTTCGCCTTTGTCGACAACCCACTCTGCAGCCATTGTTACTAGTTCTTGTGCGCTTGTGTTCGAACCTCCAACCTTCTGGACACCAGGATCCTTCACCTTCCAAACGGCGACCACCTATTTTTCGCAGACGTCTTGGGAAAGACTTCTGGGGGAAAGAAGGCAGAGTAACTGACAGTTCAAGATTCTGTGCCGGTTTCATGATGCCTTCCAGCATGTGAGTGCTCGGCCGGACCAAGGCAGTGAAAGCCTTTGATCAGATCAAGGCGAAGAACTTGACTCCGAGTCCCTAGGCTTAGAGGTTGGACGGTCGCCGTTCTAAGGAGAAGAGCTGTAGATAACCTGACATGCATTACATGGCATTATTAATGTTTTCCAAAAATATATACATGTTACATATGTTATAAATTTATATGATATAATAAAACTAGCATGCGCAGACACAGAACGCCGAGACAGGAACATGGGAGCACCACCCATTCTGGCAGAGTATGGTCGTTGATCGAGGTGTGCAAGCATACGCCAGCCTCATCAATGCCTACGTCAACAGTGCTTGCCTCAGGTTTTTCACACCATGCGCCTCGTCCATATCTTTGGCATGCCCTTGAGCGTTTATTTTTGGTGCCATTCTGTTCTTCTAGCCCACCTCTTTCGGGTGTGAACCTGTGGCCGCCTTGGGCTGGAATAAATACATGTCTTCCAAGAGCTCCAAACCTCCCAGCTGGTCAGTTGACCACAGTGCACGAGCACTCAAGTCAAGTATCCATCAACGAGTGTTGCGTCCGTCAACTGTCAGCAACACCTTGAAATCAGGCGTGGAACCTGCAACCCTACCACGCAGACTGCACAACTCCCTCTACAATCTTCTCAGGCTTCAGGTGAATCTTCGGCACCTCCGATCTTTAGGGCGATCAACCTACTTTGTACCAGCCCAGGCTGGTGGAAGCCCCCGATCACTTGGAGGTTCTTGTTGAGATGAAGAGACAGACCATTGACATCCGGCCAAGGTTTGGAAACGATTCACCTTGGTATCATTACCATAGGGTCACTCCACTTCGTGGGTCAACAGCCGTGGGGTCAACAGCGATCCAAATTGCTCAGGCGGCGATATGGCAGGAGCAGCCAGGGGGTCTCAGCAGGGTGGGGCGAGTCATCAGCCCTCAGGGATTGCGTGTTGCATTCTCAAGCTTCGTGGACATAGGTTGAACCACTCTTGAACCCATTTAACCATATTTATCCTGTCATTCATTGATATTCATGGTTCTGATGTTTGGTTGACTCAACTCTGTTGGCAATCCCTGGGTTGAATCCAGATTGGCCATTTTGAGCCAATACCTTAAGTGTAGTTGACAGGAAGCCGTTGCCAGTTGCATGTACCTAATGTATCATCAGGTGAACTCGATCTCAGAACAGCACAAGTTTGTGGATGGAGCCGGGTGGGAAATCTCAAGCAGTTGGGCGACACCCACCTTTTCTATGAGAATATTCGGCCTCATCGTGTTCGTCGTGTGGCGATCGCCGGTGGGCCGGTTCTTCCACCCGTGGTGATGCGATCCCCGGCCGGGGGTGGTTCTGCGGCGGCCGAGGCACAAGTCTTCGAAGAGATGCGTGGCCATGTCAAGCCTAACGTGGTGGCGGCTCGGCCGGAGGGATTGAGGGCACGCGGCGGACGAAGTAAGCCTGACCAGCACGGGTGGCCTGCTTTTGATGGATTTGTGGTGGATATTTTTTGGGGAGGCCGAGGGACCAGACTTTCCTCACGCCAAGTTATGTGGAACTGCGGAGCGGCACATCTCCACGCTGTCTTCGCAGGGACGTGAAGCCCATTGATGTTTCTGAAATACCTTTGCAACTTTTGTAGCTATTTTGGAGGCCAGTTTCAGTTGCATCATTGTAGAGTAGGTGCTGGGCTTGTTCCCTTTGGAAGGCCTTCCAAACCTGACAAGGAAGGCATCAGCATCAAGCCTGATAGATTGTGGGACATTCTTTTGGCAAGGTCGTCCAGGAGTTCATTCCCAAAACTGTTTCAAAACTCCAGCGTATGGAATATACCCACCTCTGACAATCGCCGCCCATAGGGATTTCTGATAAAGCACAGTGCCCTGAAGCATTCCCAGAAGAACGCTCGGTTCACATGGTCGGTTCGAAAGTTCAGAGGTAGGAGATTTGTCCATTTCTACTTGTAGATGTTTTTCAGGGCATGCACCCCCCAACTGCATTCGGTATTTGAGCCCCTCTGCAAAGAACAATCTCGAGACAAGTGGCACCGCACCGAGAAAGATCAACATGACTACCTCGTAGCTTTTTGGTAGAAAGCCCTTGCTGGAAGGAGGCTTTGTGGTGCAATCCAGGCGATGCAAAGGTCCCCTGAGACTTTCGCTATCCGACTCCCACAGCTCCAGTCTTTTGGCTCAGGATCTATATTTCTGTTAAACCCTGTGAAAACAGTGGTGCTCCCCAGGTGCGGTCAAATCACCGTGCGGGCCACACATGGTATTTGTACAGGTCTCCACTGCTTGTGCAGCTAAGATAGCTAAGATTTGCTGGCCTAGCGCTGTTCGACTGCTGTCCACGCAGCAGAGGTGCTGGCAGGTCAGTTCTAGGGGGGCGCTGCTGCAACCTGGCGGGAGTCATATCTGAGGGACATGCTCATACATCGGGCTACCGCAACGTGACAATCTCGGGTCACGTGTTTAAAGTACACCGATTGGTGGCTTTTGCGTTCTTGGGGCCTCCACCATCAGAAGCAGCATGGCAAGTGCACCACCGCGATGGTAACCCATCCAACAACCACTTGGACAACTTAGAATACGTCACCTCCAGCCAGAACATGCTCTATTCATACGCGAATCCGTCAAGATGCACCAGCGCAAGCTACCACTCCAAGCCCGTGCTGTGGCGACCTGTTGGTTCCCAAAGCTGGACTACTTCGCCCTCTTTGAAGCATGCAGCAGAACAGGTCAGCATAGCCATACAGACTATTTCAATTGCCTGTCGGCTTGGAAAACCAGCAAAGGGTTTTGAGTTTAAACTGGCCCACAGCGGTGCAAGCGCAACTTTGGTGGGAGAGCAGTGGCGACAGATGTATGACCCAATGTCAGGTGCTCCAGTGCCTGGAAGGATGGTTAGTTCGCTTGGCCGGATACAGTCTCAGGCTGGCGCAATTTCGAGAGGATATCAAACCCGACAAGGTTACTTAAAAACCCTGATGACCTTGCACGTGCAAAAGCGGTGTGAATCTGTCCATCGGCTTGTGGCATTTGCTTTCTTAGGGCCACCTGCGAACCCTGAGCGTAACCAAGTGAATCACAAAGACGGCGACAAGCAAAACAATGCAGTTGAAAACTTAGAATTTGTCACGGCAGCTGAGAACATTGCCCACCGCTATGCCAATTCGATGCCAGCTTGCCGCCTCAGGAGTGGCAAGGCGGTGGAGAGTAGACTTTGTGGCAGCAATGATGAGTGGCAGTGGCATCCTTCAATGAACAGCGCTGCTCGGCTTCTTCAGGTGAATACTGGTGGCATTTCGCGCTGTGTCAACGGAATGGTCAGTTGCACTGGCGGTTACGAGTTTCGACTGTCAAGCCAACAGGCACACGAGGTGTTTGCTGACGAAGCGTGGCGCAAAGTCGATATTGAAGCTCATATGTTGGAGAGAGCCGGCAGAAAATGAATGCAGCTGTTGTCGCGTTAGGCACTTGCTGCATTTCGTCTTCAAACACAGTGCTTCTTGGTGTTTGTCACTTTGCTCGTGGTTGTGCCACATTTTATGATTTGTACATTTGAGGGAAGTTCTACGACAGATTTGAAGTGTGGCCACGCAAGAGCCAGAGCCATGAACTGCAATCTTTTACACCGCATGAAATGATGACATGTCTGAGGTGTGCACTGCGCTGCTGAAGGGCTACGGTCCGCGCCTCAATGCACCTTGCTCCAGCGCTACGAGGGTTCGGGCTACGCTCCCTCACTCCCTGAAATAATCATGGAAGTGGAACACACCCTGTTTGTTTTCATCCAATTTTCCACTTCCATGGTGGTTTTCCACCTCCATTATATATCACGTTATTACATATTTCAATGAGCGTGTCTCAAGTGATTCTCTAAATGACGAAGTCGTGGCCTGCTCATATATGACCCGGCTTTGTGACACTTCGGTTGAAGAAAACCTCAGAAAACGCACAAGAGATTCATTGGCAGCCCGACCCTCCACACACAACAGGATACAACAGGTCGAGGTTCGAAAACAAAGTTGCGACGGTGGCTTGCTATGAGTGTTCGATTCGGAAGGCGGCCGAATGTGACGGCATTGTTGTGCATTGATTTGGATCAGTGGAAGCACTGCCAAGATCTGTGATGCCAACATTTAAAAAACGACATGTTAAGTTGACTCACCTTTGTTGAACCAATGGTGATCCTGCATCGGTTTCTGCATATAGCATCCACCCAAAACCAAGGGCGTGTGGGCGATCTGAAGGCTGCAATGGCCGCGCGGGCACTCAGCTGGTGTTTTGTGAGGAGGTTCGGATGGTGTTTTGATGTGTTTTGTATGTCAGGTCCTTGCTACACAGGTTTGATTTGGCCAATATTTTCCACCACCTCCCTATTCAGACAGGCTGGCCCGATCTCTTTTTTTCCAGTTCTTTCGGCTTGGCGGATGAGGGCCGCGGCTGGGATCCCGTGTCACGCCTCACAGGTCCTCGAGACCATGTTGCAGGAAGATCCTCCAGTGTCGACCTCGGAGACCCAACCGACCGCGCACACGAAAGCACGTGGTCGTCCGGTTTGAGGAGATAGAGTAGGGCTGAGTAGGGACACGTGGTCCTCCGGGATTTGCGTTAAGACAAGACGTTTCGAGTGGGATGAGTGATGTCGGCTTCACTCGGATGGTGCAAATCGCTTGGTGTTTGTTCCGAGTAAATGAGGACATTCTTTGCACAAGATCATCCACTTCCTCTTCAGTTCTGCATGGGTAGACCTGACATGCGGGAACTGGAGTTCCCGGAGGGGATGACTTTTTTGATGAACCTGGGCATGCAGCGGCTAGCGCACTTGGACTTGCTCCCATTGATTCTTGGCTATGCCCACAGTTTCAGGGGTTGTTGATGTAGGTTGCATAGCCCGCCAACCTCACACTCCTCTCAAGAAGGCCCGATGGCATTTTGACGGCCCACAGCTTCAGTAGGCATAGTATAGGCCCCGTTGGCGTGACGGGAGGGGCGCCATGTCCAAGCAACAGCAGCGGAATCAGCAGCCACTTTGGTGGTCGTTGAGTGTGGGCACAAGATTGGGCAGACGAAGAGGCTTCTTAGAACATGACACTTGAGAGATGGGGATCTGCTAGTGTTGTGGGGAGTGGTGTGGCTGAAGTATGTAGACTTGCGCCTTTGAGTTCAAGCAGGATCGAACCTAGTAGGATGTTTCGGTCCTTTTCTCTTGAAGTTCACGTCCTTTCCCCTCAAAATCCTGGATGGGTTGGTCACATCTTCCAAGTGCTGATGATTGGGAGGTTCAGGCGGGTCAGGGTGTGCCCAAAAATCCTGCCAAATCGAAGAAGCCTTGCGTCCCTGGGACGTAGGTAGCGATTCCGAGGACTCTTGGAATCAACTCGGGGCATCGTTGGCGTCTCTAGGTCGATCAGACTGCAAGGCTCACAAGGCTCACAAGACCCGTGCTGCCAAAACCCATGTTTTTTGGGAGAAGATCATCACAGGAGTCATCACATCACAGGCTATAGGATTTGGATCCTGATCCAGGGCGTTGTTGCTGGCCAAAAAGAACTACTACTTCATCCCACATCGCACCATGGGATTAGGTATGATCAGGTGACTGGGACGTGCCCCAAAAGAAGCTCTAGACCGATTCCAAGGACTGGACCTCATCCTCCCCAACTGCCTGACATCGCGCGCTTCAAGCGCGCGCGCGCGTCTTAAGGAAGCGCGCGGCCAAGAAGGAAGCCAAAGCGGCCGAGGAGGCTGCCGCCGTTGCGGGTGCAGGCGCCTGCGTGACCGAGCATCAAACGCTTTCGGATGCCGCAAGCACGTGCCATATAGCAGCCAGCAAGTCATAGTGGTGGGGGCAGGGGAAGTCAGGAAGAGTTTGTGGAACTTATGGGGAGTCCGTTCCGCAAAGGATGCACATTTTGTCCAGCAACTGCATCAGAACTGAATAGGGCAGTGCTTGTCTATGAAATCAATGGAGGTCTTCACAATCCTCTCACGGTCCCCTCTATCCAACTCTGCAGAAGGAACAGCTGCCAATATGCCACTAGGTTGAAGGACGAACTGAAATGACAGGAACGGAGAAGGTCTTCGTGCCTCGTGCTTGCTTTTTTGCAGGCTCCCGGATAAGCGCGTCAATCACTGCTGCCGATTTAGTTCAGACGCTTGCCTGATAACGAGGGGCATGCATTGCTCCTCCCGCACTTGACGTGGAAACACATTATATAAACGCCTGTGGAAACTGGGAACGCTGACCAGAACAGCAAGAGCAACCAGAGTTTGTACTCTCCCTTTCCCCACACCTTGAAGAGAATAAATTGGAAGAGGCGGGCTGCGGCTTGCAGGTGTAAGTAACTCCTATGTTTAACTCAAAGACTTGACCTCAGCAATGGCACATTCATGTCACCAAATTCCCAGGAGGCTGCGCATTGCCCTTCATACAGCATCAGAATTGACCTCCTTTTTTGTGGAGGTTTTTGCATCAGAATTGACCACCTTTGAATACCTTTGATATCCTTTTATGCCTTGTTCAATGTCAGGTTTCACTCAAAACTATCAAAGGAATTCAAAGGATATCTATCCAATTGAATCTCCTTCAGAATACCTTTGATAGCCTATGAGAAGTATCCAATTCACTTCATCAGAACTCACTCAGGGGGTCCCCGGGCAGACCCGGCAAAACCCCCACTCTCGGCGTCGAGCGCCCAGGAGCGGTGAATCCCTGGTCTTGGGTTCCTGCATCGCGCATTACGTGCGCAGTCCTGGAGCGGCAGAGTTGGGGGTATAGAACAAGGACCCATGCAGGGGCAATGTATGTTGGTTCAATGAATGTTCAAGACACTTTTGAAGAGAGTACCGTTGCTGGTAGTTTGGATCATAATATTGCATATCTTCATGAACAGCCTGCCGGATTCGGAGCGACATTGGTTTTGCTGGTGTTTGGGGATACTTTTGGTAGAGAGAGAGAGGGAGGAGATTGTGGCTAAAAGCGACCTTCCTTCTATATGTTTCTGAATTTGGTTAAAGTGGTACTGTAGATCTTCCAGAAGGGCACTTCCCGTTTCAAAAGGCACGAAAACGGAGCGGTTCTATAGAAGCTCATAGACACTTGGTAGAATGCGCTAGGCAAATGTTAGGGACGAGATGGCCTATTAGAATTATTAGAAGGCAAACGGTAAATCAATATGTTCACCTTCCCCCTAGCATCACCTTCTGAAAACATATCCTTAATCCAGATCTTTAAGACGAAAAAGGCATGCGGTGTTTGCGCCACTGAGGCCCCGAAGCTGCCGGATCTTCTCAAAGAGAACGGCGAGGTGGCGTCTCGGGCGGGGTTTGGGGGGGTGTCACCGCACCCGGAGGCCCTCTTAGTTGATAGGGCCTTCTCCCAGCTGGGATGGATTTACATCTGTTGACACTGGTATCAGAGGCCCGATGGCACCGTGCAGATGGGGGTCCATATACACCACCGACCTTCAAATGGTGCAATTTGCACTGTAAACAGATGCAAATAGTGGGGATATTGGATACCTCCACCTGAGATGGCAATTACAGGACTTCTATGGGGTTCTTCCTTCCTGAAATCAGGAGCCTCTTTTTGGGCGACCGCATTTGGTTGGGATTGCTTTGAAACCCTTTCATGCAGTCAGCCGTGGCAGGGGGGACGCTGGAGACAGACTGAGAGCGAGGTAGAGGTGTAGGAGATAGCTTAGGTTTCCTGAGCTTAAACTTGACTCTGACAAGTTGCTCATGTGCTGTGATTCCTTTTATATACATGTACTGGGCTTAATATCTAGCTTAGCTTGCCAGTTCAAGATTCGGGCAGCAGAGGCACTCCACATGTACGCAGTTGATCACCATAGAAACCACCGACTGTGGGGATTGTGCAATCTACTCTGAAACTGCAGTAGATAGGCCAACCAAATATCCAGTTTCAGGCGTTTGGAGAGACGGCTCGGATTGACTCACTTCAACTGTGACTACATTATAGACAGAATCAGAGGCATCATGAGGCATCCCAAAATCATCCAGAGCTCCACAGGTGATGTAACCTCCTATGAAAGCCATGTAGTAGGGGAAGGGTTCTTGATGAAGCATGTGTCGTCCAGTTCTTTGCATGGGCTGCAGGACGCCACCCAAGAGAAAGCAAAGGACACGCTCCGACGATCCGCAGCCATGGACGATGTGGTGTGGTTGGGTTGGCGGATGGAAATCCGCTCGACGGTTCATGCTCCTGAATCAACATGCAGGCCGTCATCACCGTCCATCACCCCACTCAAAGTCCCATGAATGCATGAGGGTGCGAAAAGAAGTTGCATTGAATCACTGCCCGCAATTCAGTTGATAGTGGAAGACAAATCGCAGCTGGTCAACTGATTGGAGTTTCCTTGATTTCCTCCGATTCATCTCATCATGGAGAGGGGCAACCAAGGGTATTTTGGATGATACAACCCAGGGCCGATCATGCCAGCCTACGTTTGGCATAGTATGGCCAGCTGAAGCGATCAGGAGCCAGCTGAGGAGAAGGACAGATGGGAGAACATGGAAAGCAATAGGCTTATAGATAGATGGATGACATTGGCTTTTCCCATGCCAGAATGCTCAATTTGGCTGCAGACAATGGATCTCCTAAGTGCCATGAGCCTGATGTTGCTGTTGAGCGTCTCCCTTACTGAAGAATTCACCTTTCCAACGCGAGGAGTCCGCAGAAGCGGAGGCCGCGAAGGAGTGGATGGTCCGGATGGTCCTAAGTAGAAGTCCTCGGAAAAAGGTTGCACTGGCATTAGAAAGCTTAGTATGGGCCCCCTAATCAACCAAAAGCTGTTACTGTACCAATATGAAGGACCCATGGCATCCTCTCAAAGTGTTGTGTACCTTGGACCTGTCCAAAAAGGTTTGCTTGGCGCGGATGCTGTAGACACCCGGAAATTCACCAGGTCCAGGATGTCCAGGTTGATCACCACAAAATCTTATATAGATCTGAGTTGCTTTTAGAATGACCATGCATGAACCGCTATTATAACTTTTTGGGGTCCACCATGGCCAGTACCCGTCCCTTTCTTTCGACCCCCCCCCCCCCCGCTCCGCTCCGTGCTCCGCCACCCACAGCAGGCCGAGCGCTCGGGCGCCGGCTCCCCGTCGGACGCCTTCGCCGAGCTGACGACCCGCTTGGCCTGGTCCAACCCGCTGGGCCTGGCGCGTCCGCTCAGCGGCGAGGCGCTGCGGCGTCTCGGAGAGCGGCGGAGGTGGAGCGATCCGTGGCGCGAGACGGGGAGGGCTTTGTTGGTGGAGGAATGTGGAGGAAAAATGAGGAAAAGATGTGAACAGAGAGGTGAAGAATCGAAAAGAAGTGATCACTAGTGGTCAGTCCACTAGTGAATCAACATATTGTTTGATGTTATTTTTGGGGGATATTGTATTTGGAACACCTGGTTCTGAAAGAATCCCGCTCTCGAACTGGTCGTCATCGGCCCTTTTGTGTTGGGCCCAAAATTTTTCTCCATGAATGCTTTTAAAGGTGCACTGGAATCACCTGGAATGATCTCACTATCCAGATTTGGACCAGTTTCTTTGGCCCATTCCCATCCATTCCCTCCAGCTCCAAGAAAGGGACCTACGAGATCCGAGCGCGCGTCCGCCCGCGCCAGGACGCGATCGCCCAATGGAAGGCGCTCAGCCAGCGAGGGCTCTCAGTCGATGCAGAAGTCCGAAGTCGCAAAGAAAGAACCAAAAACGAGTGGGAAGCGGGGTGGGTTTGGTGTTGCCACTTCAGAGGTAATTCCATTGCTTGGATCCTTGGGAGTTGGAACAACATTTCGAGTCTGAGTCTAAGTCATATTTGGATCAGTTGCAAAGTTTGTTTCTAGAGCATCCCACCCGGTCATGTGCAATACGAAGCCCACTCGCACCGTTTGCGTGGACTATGGTCGTCACCGACCCAAGCGATGCGCCGACCCAGCTGCGCTGAATGTGGCGCTGAGGTTGGAAGTGGATGGGGGCCCACGGAAGAGCAAGCGAGGAAGTCCAAGCATGGACAAGAGACTTGTTCTTCGTGCCGAGGAATTGGGATGTAGACTTAGGGGGGAGTATGTGACTGACGAGACACAGGCGGTGTGGGGTGGTTTGCTTTGATTCAGCCAAGTCTGTCACTGGATTTTTCGTGGGGTGAATCAGGGATTCCCGAAACCAGGTGCGAAGCACGCAGGAGATCTCAGGATGTGCCTGCTTCTTTGAATCTTATGCGCTTTGTATTCTCCAATGGCCTCCAACTCCAACTGCGAGCACGTGCTTTTTCGATACCTTTCATCCACTTGAAGCTTCAAGATGCAGGGATGTGATCATATTTCCATATATTTCCCAAGACGATTCAATGTTTTTTTTCACTGCTTGTGACTTTCTGATCAGAGGCAAACGGAAGAGTAGCGTTGACCCCCCTTTCTCCACACACCCTCCCTTAGCTGCTAGCTTTCTTCTGACGTTTTCAGCGGCCGATCAGCGACCGGTCGCAGCTCCTTCCAGGATCATGGCCAACTTGTCGGAATTTCTGCCGCTGCTCGGACGCAGCAAGCAGTTGGGGGGGGGCGGATACTTGCGGCTCGGCGGAGTGGGGGATTTCGGTGTATACGGTGAATGGTGTTTTGCTCATTGAAATGTAGCAAGATCATGATGTCTAACAGTCTAACACCATACAAAGGTGTACGGTGAAATGGTGACTTGTTGCTAGCAAGATCGAGGATGTACCCCCCCGTGGAGCCACCCAGCAGTAGTCGTCTTACCAAATCGGTAGAATGAAGGCAGGTCCGCACGTATGTACAACTCAGATGCTGCAAACACAACATACATAAACGGGAAAAGATCGCATCCGGTAGCTCGTGCAGTATATTAGTGACCATCATGGAGGTCGAGCCAGGTTTCAGGAAGGATATGGACGAACACATTCTGATCTAGAAAGGGGTCGCTTGAATCCGTTTTCCCCCATTGAATTGACCGAATGGCATGCCTCGGCAGTACCTCCCAGGCAGTACCTCCACATTTTGCTCGTTGGAGCCTCGGTTCATCGAATTCGGCGAGCCTTGGTGCAGCTTGGTGTACTCCCACCGGTGTACGGGTGATGTGTTTTTCTCATCCAGACTCATAATATTACAAGAGATAGACACAGTCAAATCCATTAAAGCGCTTTTAAACATGTATTGGACATCGTTTCTATCTATCTGGGCTCCACCCTCAGTTCTTCCAAGAGTTGCTCAGCTGGCACTCACGTCGTTCGCACGGTGCGGCAGGTGCTTGGGATGCTCCACGCCTTCTTGTTCCGGTCATATTTTGCATGTCTACCTTGGCTGGTCCTGTGGCAGACTCTTGGCGCAGCGCATGGCTGAACCCTTGGCATCCGGGACATTTGCGGGCAATGTCGGCATTGCGGGACCTCACTCTTCTTTGCAGGTTCTTCTTGGGGGGACACTGACTTGATGTAGAGCCTACAGTTCCAGAGCCAGTGCTTTGTGCTCTGCTCTTGACGCGGGATTGAGAGAGTGACATGATATTGCAGGCCAAAACGCAGTCCTTCTCACATGCTTTGGACTCTCCTGAAAGTTCGGCAACCGAGTACAGGCGACAATCGATTGAAGGCGACAACTTGCAATACAGTCTTTTGAAGACCAAGCTTGTGCGAACCAGACACTGACTTGTGCTGAGTAAGTCGGGTATGGAGGTGGCTGGATCCAAAGGAATCTCTATTGGGAGCGAAACTTCCCTTTGTCCCTACGAGTCGCACCAGTCAGGACAGGGGAGGAGAGAGCCGAGAGCGCAAAAGCAGCCGCCCGCGCTCCTGAGGACGGTGTCCCTCTTGGTCCCACTGGAGACCTTGGAGCAGGTACAGTGCAAGGGAAGGGGAAAGCCAACGCTTCAAAAACACCTAGAACAACTCCAAGTTTGATACTTAACTTACATATATATATATATATATAAATATGCTGAGGTAGCTCGAAGGTGATAGCAACATATAAGCAAGCATTTTGTAGCTGTCAAGGTTTGCCAACTGGAGATTGAAGATGGTGTGGAACGTTGCACGAGCTCTTTTGAGCTTGGTCGAGCTGCCAGGATGTTCCCATCCCCAACTGCTTTCACTGGTCCTGCACCGCACCATTTTGAAGCCACTCACCCACCAATGTGGTCAACTCCCATCACTGGGGTGGCATCCTTTTGATTTTTCCACCCATCATCATGTAGTCAAAAAAAGACTCTTGATGAACAACCCCCCATGTCCATGGATTGCGCGGAAGACGCTGGACTCTAGACGCTTCCTTCAGTCGCTCGCTCGCGCTCGCTCGCAGCGCCGCGACTCGACCGGCTCGAAGGTGCCACAAGTCCCTTTGAGCCAGTGTCCGGTGAAGTTCCGTGTGGGGCCCCAGAGGTGTACTCGACTCATGGGACGGACGGCCGTTTCGAGTTCCGGGTGGGGTGGTGGTTTTTGGGGGTCTTTTTTTTGGGGCAGTCCGACATGGCAGTCCCAGACAGGTCGTGTCTGGGATGTATGCTTTAAGCTTGTTCCTTGATCAGTTGGCGAAAGCAACTGACCCTTTAAAAGGATCCTTTGATGTCCCGATGTCTCTGTTTCGAACTGATGTTCCTGTAGGTTCTTGGGTCGCTTGCGAGTCGAACGAGTTGGGGAATCAATCTGGATGGAAGTGCGTAGATCAAAAGTGGGTAGAAGCTGTTGGCAGTTTGAAGGTACGTTGGTTGAAGTCAAGCCGCAGACGTAGTAGACGTAGTGGATGGTCATCGAGGATTTTGAGCCACGCGAACTCTTTGAGAAGATCTTCCTGCGTTGATGCACATAGCGCAGATCGCCTCATATGTGAACACCTGCAACCCTGCAGGTGTGGCCGGGACTGTGGCGCTACATGCACTGATGCTGCTCTTCTTTGTCTTCGAGTTGCTTGACCTTTGTTTGGGTGCGACTATATTTGCATCGACATGTAAAGTATAGGACCTACAAGAGAGCAATGGTACAAGAGAGCAATGGGGCAAATGCATCATATGACCCATGACAATCCCGCAACCAAAAAAACATCACCCCTCCTTTGAGTATTCCCACATTCTATTGGCGCCAGAGCTGGTCAGACCATGTCAGCGACCCAGACACTCCACACCGCCCGGCATTCCTTTAGTTGCGGGATTGCTCGAGCATTAAGAATTCATTCCTTAGAGGGCTGACAGCCACGGGTGTTGCCAAAGGTTTCAGTTGTTGGGGTCAAGACCCACGATGGGGGGGAACCATTCTCTTCTGCATGCATGAAGCTCTGAAGTCCAAGTGTTGGACGTCATCTTCATACTAGTGTGTACACTCTAGACTCTAGACTTGACAACTTGGAGGAACTGATTACCGTGCCCTTTAATTGACGTGAGGCTGATTTGGTGCATGAACTTCTTGGTCAAAATTTTGGTGACTCGCCCCAGCTTGCTTGGGCCAGAAGTGGGGCGCGAAAGTGAGTGGCAAGTTATCATTTGGAATATAGCCGGTTGTGGCAAGGAGTCAAAACATCCTCCTGTTTTGTGCTTGGGCTGCAGTGCAGCTGCAGTAACAGAATTAGGGCTGCCACCTTGTTCAATATTCCTCGAGACCAGTGCTTGTTGGAGCGCATGATGGTTCGGTGATGTGTGGTGTCACTTGTGTTCTGACTTCGGCGTTCAAAATGGCTGAGCTCAAATCGCCAAAGCCCAAAGCCTTGGGGTGAAAAGAACCTCGCGAGAATCGCATGATTCCAAGGCATACCCTCCAGTTCATACAGTCGCGTTTCTTTACAATACAGCCTGATGATCACGAGGTGTAGCAGGTTCTGCTCACCAAGCCCTTTAGTTGCCAAAACTCTTGGAGGGATAATTGACATGAGAAAGAGACAGAGACAGAGAGGGAGGGAGACACAGCCCCATTGGACACAGGAGATCCATTCCTCGAGCTGGCCTGGTTGAGGAACTTGGGTTTGGCTGCCTGTTTCAAGGATGGTCTTGGCTCAAGCCAACCCCCAACATGTTGGACCGTTCCATTCTGCGACTCCCAAAAATCCAAGATACGCTACTGACTTGCATTGCCTGGGTAACAACAGGGTGTGACCATTTTGAGATTCTTCCTGATGTTCATTCTCCCATCTCGTTCCTTTTCATTGTTTTTGGGGGGGATCTTGAGAAGATTCCTCATCGCCAAATCCAGATCCCGTTCCCATGAGGTCTTCGGCTTGCTTACCTTGCACGCTCATTCCGTGAAGCCCATCGCTGTCGCCGCCCGGGACAGCTGACGTTACTCACAAACCGACCGTGACAAGTCGGGAACAAAGAACCCGGCAGCGGGAGCTGGGATGAGCTGGGGTGCGCGGGACAGTGGGCGTTTTTGCAGCAGTTGCAACGGCCGGACCGCACCGACCGGGCCGTTCGACGGGGCGCAAGCTACCACGACGCACATAGACCCACGAGATCCCGCAATGCTGTGTGGCTGTTTGGGACATTGAGGGGTGGCTTGGGTGTGTTTGCATGGAAGTAGATGAATTCGGAGTTGCTGGGAATGCCTGGTTTACACTGTCTACGCTCCCCGGAATTAACATGGAAGTGGAAAATGGTCCCTTGGATGACTATCTTCCTGGTTTTCCACTTCCATGATGCTTCCAGGGAGTGCCAAAAAAACACACCCTGTTATTGGCAAGTGCTAGCTTTCGCAGCTTCTAGCTGATTCGAGTCCTCCACCCGGCATGGAAGCCCAAAACGATGTATTTATTCGCAATGCACTGCGCACACAGCACTAACACACCATGAGTTGGCCATAGGTCGAGAGGCTTTGTGAGGCCACGCCATAGAAGATGACCCCACCAAGGTGAAGCCCGACTTGCGTGGCAGCCTTGGAAATGACAACAGGTCCAAGGAAGAACAATCGTTTGACATAATTGAACTGAGTTCACGCAACAACCTTCACTGCTGAATTATGGAAGTGGACAACCCCGTGTGTTTTAGAGGAGAATTGTTTTTTCAGGGGCCATTGTCCACCTCCATGATGGTTGGGGGGAGGGCTACAGATGTTAATGTATATACATACACACACACACATATATATATATATACACATGATACATGTACATCTATATTCAGATAGAGAGAGAATATAGAACATGACAATGAACTGAGGATTATATCTATCTATATATATATATATGTATCGTCCCTAGAAGCATGGACGCTGACCCTTCAGCCCGAAGAGGAGGAGATCTATCGGCTGCCAACAGCAAATTCTTGCTGAACCTGCCCTGCTCCCTGCCGAAACGCCCAGGTTTGATCAACACACTTCTGCGCAGTTGTCTTCGAGCTGGTGGCCTCAGCCAGCCTCCGCCTCAGCCGCTGGACTCCGCTGCGGTGCTGGACGTGAGGTGGGTGACCTTCCGACGGCCGAGCAGCTCTTCGGTCGCCTGGAGGAATGGCAGCTGCGGCCGGACGCCGGGCAGCCTGAGGAGCTTGGAGAGAGAGCCAGCGATATTGCGACATGCCATAGCAAGAGAGGTGAAGTGACCGTAAATATGACCCTACTGGGGTACCTATGGGATAGCCTACAGGGTTCTTCAACCTCTGTTGGTATGTTCTGAATCGATCAGCTAGCGATTCGATCTAAGATCTCCAACAGAAGCCATCAGCCTTCATGGAATGCTGGACATCCTCCCAACGACCACCTCTTAAGGTGCCGGTTCTGTGTGCCGGTTTCGTGGTTCCACCACCAGAATCGTAGCACTATAGACACTAAGAACTCGGATTTTTGAGCACGACATCTTATCATAATCGGGAATCGGGTGCGGAGTGGTAGTTTGGAAGTCTTTTTTTGGGGGGGCGCATGTGCTGTGTGCCCAAGTGGGAGTCCGCAAAAGTAGGTTCAGGTATGTTCAGGTGTTCCTTCTGTTCAGCTACTTGGACATCTGAAAAAAAAAGAGCTCACAGCGTATCTTCCGCACTGTTTCCTGAGGCTGCTGCATGCACCTTTCTAGGGCTGGACACTGAGGAATATCCACGATGTTGCTTGAACCCTCACACTGTTGCCGCGAAGAATCATGCGACAGTGGTGTGGAATGTATCATGGCAGTTCAAACACGCCCTCAGCATCCAACAAACCAACATGAAAACCCTTGAAGGATCGACGTAATCCGTCTACAATGGTTTAAGGTCACTCCTGGGCCAAGCACTTCGCAGCAAGTCAGCCAGATGCCAAGTTGGTGACCTGCATGTTGTGAGACATCCTGTTTCAATGCAGGACCTGCAGGCCTCAGGCCTCTGCTGAGAGGTGGTCAGATGATGTAAAGATGTTGAACATGCTCGTCCGAAAAGGAGACTTCAACATGGTGTAGACATGGTGTAGCGGCGTAGGCCTTGAAATCTTCGTTCGAGGGTGCACATGCAATCGCCCATGCAGATTCCATGGATTGCCCTGAATCTTCATGCCATCCCACAGCTTGGCCACACCGCCATATCCCTCCCCTTCCTGCAACACAGATCGGAGCTCTTCTGCGTGCACCACCACTCGTAGGGGCGCCCGAGCAGGTGACCAAACCTTGCGAAACCAAATGATATGGCATGATCTGAAGAGATTGGGTGACTTGTTTATATTTTGTCGTTATTTTCCATGTGTTTTTTAATGTTCGGATTTTTGGGAGCTTGATATGGAGATGAATGAAGAAGAATTCGTGTATAAGGTCGAGCCCACCACAGGCTGGGCTTGAATTCTCACGATGATGTCAATGTATTTACTTGTATCATGGACAACCACGATTTGAATTGTTGTTTTTGCCTGGAAGACCACCAGACCTTGTGCTCACAGGCTTTCTTGGATTGTGTGCATGTCAACTGGTGTTTTGGCGCAAAGGAACCTTGTGACGTCGGGGGGGGGGCAGGGCGTAGCAACAAATTGTCGCCAGATCCGAACACCCCGTCCTCCTCCTCTGCCGGAAGCTGAGCGGCCAGCGAACTGCGTTGTGCGTTTCGGCGGGCAAGCGCACCGGCAGCACCGAGGCCAAAGATGCAGCATGTAGGCTGGGCGATTTGTCGAAGGGACTCTTCTGAGTGGATGATGCTGATGTAGATCTTGTTTTTGTGAATTTTGCCTGGATGGACAGGTTCTGGGCCAAGGGAAAATGCACCAAAGGCACGGTGATGGTGCCTTTGAACATGTTTCATCATTTTTCGTTATTGATGGCAACGTTGGTTTGTCCAGAAGATCATGTGATTTTGTTGATGTCACCAATGGCACGACTTGCAGGTTCTGCTTGCCCCTTCTACCACGATCAAGCGATTGTAGTGGCCTCAGGACAGAGACCGTGTTCCTGCGAGATGGATTCCTTAAGTGGGGATTGTGCTGTACACGACATGCCACAAAACGGAATTGAATTCCCCAATTACACTCCCTTAAAACAATAATTCCTCTAGAAACATAGCCAGTTGTTTTTCATTTCCAGGACGTTTTTCTAGTATTTCAGGGAGTCTCTTCGGTACCAAGCCATGTGAGCTGCGAAGCCAGACCAACAAGTTCCTGCTAGGTTGATAATTCAAATAGTCTATTCTGTTCAAAACCAGGACCATGACCATATATGATATAGACTCTTCATGATGTAATACAACCCCTAAAGCCGGAAGAGGTCTTTCAACCTAAATGTGGGAGGTCTTTTAATACATCAAGAGTCTACATGATCCTGGTGCCATGACCATCGGGTCTCCCTAAGGCGGCCGCCCAGCTGGACCTCACTGAGCCGGAGCGATTGACGGCGGCCCGGGGACCGGAAGAGATGGAGGGAAGAGGTTGAGATGTTTCTTTTTTAATCGAAAGACGTGTCAACATATATGTCAGAAATATGGCTGAAGGAAGTGTCAACATATGTGAGATCGGTTCAGATCTGTTCGGATTGGTCAGATTTGTCGAGGCTTTCTGATTTTGCTTGCTTGATGGTTGTAGACTTTGGTTGGCATATTTTGCCTTGGATGTGAAAGGCTTTTGGAATGGCGGCTCCTCCAAGTATCAGCTGATAATTTTGTTTTTTATCATTGAGGTCGGGAATTTCTTCCATAAGGATGCTCCCAATTTTTGGTCGGTGTGGTGTCCGAATGAGATCTTGAAACGGCCATAACGGGCCATAACCAAGACCCCGGCCCATAGTAATCAATCCACAAGCCCCAGACACTCCGTGGGACATATATGCCGCCCCAGACAGACCCCCCCAAAAACAACCACCTCTCACCTGAACTCTCGGCAGTCCGTCATGGCAGTGCCATGGAGTGACTGGGAGCTGTGACCTTCAAAGAAGTCCATTCAAAATCCATCTTCCTGATCTTTGCCCGGCCACGTCCCTGGTCGGCCATCGCAATTGGTCCTGTGCCGCTGCTATCTGTTGCTCAACACTTTGAGTACACACAACGTGTCTTGAAGCCCAAAATCGGTTTGACTAGGTCACTAGGTGATCCGAAAAGGCATTTGCTTTACTTGAGTGGTGCCCAGAAATCTTCGAACTGTGCTTCTAGGATGAAGATGTTTTGAATAATTCATGACACTGAAAGGCCAAGGCATGAGATTCTTCCGCCGTTCCACAGAAGGCCGTGCTTGGGCCCGAATCGATACAGACTGAGGTTGCTTCCCTGCGCTGGGAGGCCAAGAGGCAGGTAGAAGACACTCTGACGAGTGTCAGTTCCTGATGCGCAAAGAGTTGGAGTTCGAAGTGAAGAAAGCGAAGATCTTTGTCATGGGTCAGTGTTTGGTGCTGAATTTGGACACTTCTACCGTGAATATGGCTAAAATTGGATGCAGTGAATACGGCATATAGTATGCATTAGTGTATATATTTCTTACTTCTTGTTGGTTGCTGGCTTGCCTTGGTGGGCCCACCTGCAGTTCTTGGACATTTCAGCTGCCTGCTCCAGCCACAATCTCTAGGTGTTCCTCAACAGCATGACAAACCGCTTTAAACATGTACCGGAACAAAGAGGTATTGACTGGGGGTGATACAAAGAGATGCTCAAGTTCTGTGGGATTTCTTGTTTCTCTGAAAAGGTGTTGTACTTGCTTAGCATCCAGCTAGCTTGCAGCATTTTGCACCTCAATCAGTGTTCCCTGAGGTCTGAACTTAGCCTTTGCCATCGTTGTGGCACCCAACAAGAAGCCCGAAAAGAGCGACAAGAAGCGAAAGGCGCTCGAAGATGCGGCTGAAGGGCTTAAGGCGGCCAAGGACAGGGTCAGCTTTTGGATTTTCAACCCAGCACCGCTTTGGTACCGGCAGGCGCACAACTTTTGGGAGACAGGGTTAACGGTTAGTGCACGTGCAATTGGAGGTGAGCAGAGATTTTCAAACGTTTTCAAGATGCTTTGAAGGACCAAGAACCAGTTGATTGCGTTCGTATATACAAGAGTTTGAACCTAACTAGTCTATCCAGACTATCCCAACCTAAAATGTTACATAAGATGTCGCCTTCCTTCCACCCTTTACGTCCAGCCATTGGTTTTTGTTCGCACTCTCCATCGTTTGGAGGAGCGACCCTTGCAAAAGCGGGCGCTGAAGGAGAAGCAGGAAAGCAAGCAGTGCGGAAACTCAAAGACCACAGGATGTACCCAGCAGCCATTTCATGGCATTTTCATTGCATTTTCGCAGAAACTGCGTGTTTTGCTTTCAGAAGATGAAGGCATCCTCATGCTTCATCCCAGGACGACGACAGTGTCCACTCCTGCCTCATGAACACGGTCTCGGTGCCACGTAGGAAGTGGTTTACGTCGCACGTCCCTCAACCAGGATTCCGACCTCCGGTCCAAGGGACTCACCGTCCGCACGTCCGCACGTCCGCACGGAACGGAACTGCCGTCCGTCCGCAGCCCCCGTGGCCCAAGGGGCTGTCGGGAACCAAAACGACCAATCTTCGCATGGACGACCTGAAGAAGGGAATTCCCCACTCGTACCGCTCGACCCATTGTTCGCAGCAGCTGGGCTGAATCAGCTGCGGCGAGGGCAGTGGCGCAGCGGCGAAGCGTTGCGGCGAAGCGTTCGGGAGGCGGTTTGCGCTGCAGAGATTGATCGGAGCGGCTGAAGCACATCAATCTTTGCAGCGGATTGAGCACGCTTTTAGATGTTTTTTGCAGGGATGGTCAACCACCCCAATGCATATATGCATTGGTATATGTATGCATGGAGTGTTTGGGATATACGGTCCCTGTATGTTTTGACCATCGTTGACCTTCATCCCTTGGTGAGTCCATTTGAGTCCGGGCAGGAAGCAAGAAGGGCAAGATCAGACACCTTCACCTTCCCCATGTTTTGCTCTCAAGTTGGTCCTCTTTGCACTTTGGACATGGAATCACCAGTCCACTCCCTTTGCTCTTGATTTCGAGAAGCAGACAGGATTCTCGCCAGACTTGGATGATGAGGGATGGCTTTGGTGAAGACTAAGTACCCCCAACAAAATCACGGGAGAACGTGTTGTGTCGCGAGATTCCTGCCGAGAGAGACGCTCGCACCAGACGCTCGCGCCGGCTAGGCTCACATGTCGAGGGATGGCGCAGTTGCATGCAAAAAAGCTGTGCTTTTGAAGCTCGGTCCACGAGTTGTGCGACATGCGACAGATGACAAACAGTACTCAGTTACACTTGCCCCATGCTGCAACATCTGGTGTGCATGTGCTTGGGTCTCTCACCCAAACCCCGATGGTATTCCAAAGAAAAGGACTTTCCTTAATTATAGGGATCTTTTGAGTTCAAGAGCTGATTTGTTTCTTTTAACCTGTTTGATAGGTTTGTTTTGGATAGTTTTTCTTCAAGTCCACAGCGCGGTAGCACTAGAAGGATTCTGTCAATCCATGTCCCTGCGGAGTCAACCCTAAAGAATGAAGTGGACTAACTAACATGATCTAACATGGATGTTGTGCACAACATTGGAGTGAGAGCCTCCTCAGCATCAGTGCCCCTGATGTTTCGTGAATGTTCCATATGTGTTTTTCTCAAATCCAGTTCTGTTTTTTAATGATACGGCGACCACCGAGATCTACACCATGAGCCCCCCTTTTTGGCACCCACAATCACATGTGGGCTCGTAGCCACGCCCAGGAACCATGGCTCTTTCAATCCAGCAGCTCAGAGTTGAGGTAGTAGTTGAGGTTGTGCTTGGCTTCTGAAGGAATAGTATGGTTGGAGCGGGTCTTCTTTAAGCGTCTTCATCAATCTGTAAGCATAGAAGCTGGCCCGTCCGCGGTCGTCCGGACCGCTGCAGTGGGTATGATCAAAATGAACCCACCTGACGATCGGACGTGAACGATGTTGAAAGATGGGAACGATGTCGGTACCATGTCTATTAGGATGTACTATAGGATGGTTGATGTTTGGTTGATTCTATAGGGAAGATGGTTAATTTTTATTGCATTCTTTCCCTATAGAATCTATGATCGCAGTCCAAAGACTGTTTTTGGCACCCAGTTCGATTCAGGAACGGACGAACGGATCACCGTTCGTCAGACTGGACGCTTTTTGGAACGGAACCAATCCACATCCACCGGCGAACTGGAGATGCGTGGAGATGGATGGACATCCTGCCCTCCGAGGTGCACCGGCACCACGTTGACATGATGATCCACGCGAAACGACGACTGGAAAAGGCTGGCTATGAGGTCGTCAGTGGCCTTTTGGTCCGGAGGCTCAGAGCTTAGGAAAAACCAATAGACAACACATCGGCAGGACACTCCATGGGACTGCCATGACGGACTGCCGAGAGTTCAGGTGAGGGGTGGTTGTTTTTTGGGGGGTCTGTCTGGGGCGGCATATATGTCCCATGGAGTGTCTGGGGCTTGTGGATGGATTACTATGGGCCGGGGTCTTGGGGCGGCAGTCCGCCAGTCCCAGACAGGTCGTGTCTAGGATCGGCAGGACAGACCTCCCCTGTTCGATTCACTGTACGGTTCGATTCTGCAAGACCACGGCGGGGGCAAGGTCTCCGTGGCAAAGTCACGGCAGGGGCCAGATGATCCAGCTGGTTGTCTCATGGTCTCAGATGGCTGATGAGCTGTCAAGCTTGAAAGCACCAGATGATCATGAGCCAATCACAGGGATCATTAGCAGTTACATGCAGCTACAATCAATATATAAGCCACATTCATTGGGTTGTTTGCTTCTGATCCACCCGCATCAGAACATCGGTGACAGGGTCATTGGCATTTGCACCAGAACCACGACCCAAGCTTCAAGCCTCCCAACTCCGTAGCTCTTGTTTTCTTTTCCTACTTGACATGACGTCCGCAGCTCACCATTCGGAAATAGACCAGTCACTCTACCCATTCGTTGGGTGTCTCTCGATTCAGTCTCACACACACCCATGCCGCCCATGCCTCACACCCACCAAAAACCGACCGTTTTCGAAGAAAGAACCACCGCCCGTGTCGGCGACTGGTTCGAACCCAAAGCCGCCCCACGTCGACCCCCCAGCCCACCGAGGCCATCACCAACTCGGAGTTCGTGCGTCGGAAGAAAGACACTGTGCCTCGGTTCGGATTGTGGGGGGGGAGAGGTCCCAGGGCGCAGGACCGGGCGAAGCACGGCGCACAGAGTGGGCGCACAGAGTGGGCGCATGGCTGAGAAAGGGTGAGACGACCAGTCACAAGGATCTTACAAGATTTGATAGGTAAAAAGAGGTATCAGTTTCACAACTCCTAGTGAATCATTTGACTTTTTCAAATACCTGTCACAACTGTTCAGGTTGATGTTCTGAGATAGAAGTGAGCAGTCCTTAGCAAGGTTCCTGGTCAAGCGGACGTGGGACGTGGTGGTTGTCGTTTTAAGCCAACTTTGAAAGACTTTGATGAGTAATCTACGCCATTTTTGCCCTCAAAGGACCTCTGACTCACTGTCTTGGGTGTACTCGAAGAGGAAGAATTTCTAAGTATTCCAAGCAATCAATGTGCCTTCCACCTTCGTGCCACCTTCTCCTTTCATCCACTTTCCCTTTCTTTCAAAGATGTAGCTGGGTTCCAGAACTTCAATGATACACCCATTTCATCGCGTTTCATTGCTGCTTTCGTTGGTTGTCATGCACAACATTGCGCAACCCTTTGCTGCGAGGGCAGATGACGCAGATAAGGGGTTGAGTCAAGGTTTCGAAAACTATGCTACAGGACTGGATAGATAGAGGCTTCATGATGTTTCGCTTTAGTTACGTCTTGATCAACAAGCGGACTGCACAAAATGCAATGACACCAAGTTTAAACAAAAATACGGATCACAACCAACCAACACACACACAAAACAAACAACAAATCAAGAGTCACACCAAAAACGACTTCTCCCCCCCGCTTCTCCGCCCGCCTTCTCCGCCCGTTCCCCACACCGCCTTCCACCACCAGGATCCCATGGTCGACCAGCACCGTGTGGCCACCCTGCAGATCGCCTGCGAGTCCGTGCGCGGAGGCGAAGCCGATGGGGTCGCGACGGTGGCCGTCGCGGTGGGGTAAAAAAGAAAGGAGCCCTGGAGAGACACCGAACCTGACATACCTGGGGGGGGGGCATGGAACCTGGTGATACCTGGTGCATCATCTCTTTTTTCGGCCGAGAAGGGGCGAGTTTCTAGCAAATTTCAAATAATTAGCGAAACAGACATGCAAAGAAGCAAGTCCTCTAGCTAGGACAGAACCGCCGAAACTGCCCTTTCTCTTTGTGGAAGAACATGTTTCCGGATGTTGCAGTTCCGCGGATGTCAGGCTGGTTGAAGCCAGACCTTCGTGGCATCAAGTATTCCAGCGCCGGGCGGATGGTGGAAACGCTCAGGGGGGAGCCTCTTGGGCGAGAAAAAGCATCGAGGTGTTCGAGTGCAGTCGGCTTGGCAGAGTTGAGTTATGACATGTTATGACTTGATTATCCGCTTAATGTCCAATTTCCTCACGAATCGAGTCTCTTTGGCACAAAAAGACAGAGGTCCAAACTGGGGCTGGTAGCAGAAATGGTAGACCTGCTCAAAGGCTACGAGTTCAATCTTCAAATCTGAAGCGCAAGAGGGTCGCTATGAAAGACTTGTGAAATGGGATCTTCAAGGCCCAGGACACTGCGATGCATAGTCTTCATCTCACACAATATTAGTGACTTGAAGGGAGTCACCATGAAACCGATCAGCCTCAACAAAAAGACCTATTGGAGGAATGAAAGGAAGAGCACTATAGAGCACTCACAAAAAAGCCAAGTTTTCCGAAATGCTCATCCAGAACTCAACTGTGTTGTTTTCACTTTTTGATCCGCACCAATTGAAACAAGAACAATCTCCCAGGATCAAGGACGCCATCATTTTCACTGTGTGTGGCGCAGACACCTTGGTGAGGTTGTGCAGGCTCGCGCCATTGCGCGGGCTCCGGGAGGTTTGGGCGGTTTAGGCCTTTTCCTCGCTTCGAGAGTTGCGGAGAATGCTTCGGAGCACCTGTGATCGGTTTGAAAAGCGAGTGTGATGTTGTGTTTGTCGCAGAAAACGTGATCACAGGTTTCTGTAGTGGAAGTTCTCCGGCTAAACGACTGCTGCAGATGGTTGTTGCTCTCAATTTGTTGTGACAACATGGTGGCTACTGTATTCTCTTGTGGAGATCGGTTCCGTCGGTGCAAGGGAAACAAGGTATGTACCACTGGGCTGGAATGTAAGTGTGTCCTTACCATAATACTCCACCCCTTTGTGACTCCTGGCTCATCAACATTCATCAACTTCATCAACAGCCATCATCTAACCGAGCTGAGTGCTGTTTTGCCTCCTGCGCGTCCTCCTCCTCCTCGGCGAGGAATGGCTCAAAATTCAATCAGCCCATGGTGGTCTTTGCACGCCCGGGGATCAACAATCAAGTGGTCAAGGAGCCGGTTGTTGCTGGTACATGGCACAGGCACAGTCCTTTTACCGGTTGGTTGATGAATAGAGGGGGTTTCCCCTCAAGTGTACAACATAGGTAATATGATGGCAGTTATGATGGCACATGTTACCAAACCGACCCCTCCATTATTCCCCAAGGCCCCAGAGCTGGTAGAATGTTGAATGGTGCCAGCAAAGGCCAAGTCTCTCTCTACTGGAAGAATAAGCCAATAATGGGAAATTGAGGTCGCCGCATGGATTTGGGGTCTTGAATGATCACATCAAAAGAAGTTGTGCCATTGAAAGGGTTGTCATTCACTTGTCTAACTAGGTCTACGGTTTTCTAGAATTTGTGTCATTGAGGCCTTACCTGACTGGCGAGGGTGTATATAGAATGAGAGTTTTGCTACAATGAGAAATACATGTTGTTGTTGTTGTTGTTGTTGTTGTTGTTGTTGTTGTTTTGCCACCACCCCAAACTACTTTGTTACCGACTAGCTAGACAATATGGACACCCCCCAAAACATAAGACGAAGGATTCCAAGGTGAACAACAACGGAACAAATAAAAACAAGACTAACAAGACAAAAGAAAAAGAACCAGTGACACGAAGTAACAAGAAAGCTGCGAGCCATGACACTACCGCTCTCCCCAATGGCCCTGAAGGAAACGGCAAAACTACTACATATTATATTATATGTATATAGCTTGGGTCTGTCCTATTACCTGTAACAGTCAGTAAACAATTATCACAATTTTTGGACAAGGCCTCTGCACTGTTACAGGTAGTAGGATAGATCCAATATATAGCTGTGTAGAGCGCATGAATACGCTCAAAGAAAGGGAGCAAAACACCCCGGCTGTCCATGCACCGTGGTGCAGAAATCTACTGTTACGGCAGGCACCGCCATGAGTGCCACGACTCGATGCAGCGACCGTTGGCGGATTCTATGGGCTACCTGTACCCATCCAGGTAATATCAAGGCCAAGACTGAGAAGGTTTGCAAAATGAGAGATCTAGCAGGGCCTGGGCAGGGTTTAGAAGGGCTTGGCTTGGCATTGTTTGATTTGATTGATAATATATAATATTGATTTGTTGATTTTTCTGGTGTGTTTTAGTCTATTGAATTTATGGAGTTTTCTTCCTACTTTTTACAAATCAACAATTCAATTCTCCAGTATTGAACTGAAGCTAAATCAAAAGGGTTTGGAACATATTGATTGTAATCAATATTCGATGCTCAGGGTTCCTCAAGAAAAGCCACAAGGGTGTGTAAAACATAGGGAGACCTCCCGCACGTTCACTCCCCGCTTGCCGAGATCTCGCTCGATCTCGCGACCGGGAAGCGGCCGGGAACAACGGCAGGACACCGTGAATGTCTCCGAACAAGCAGGGTACCAGGCGGGGGCCTAAGGCGGTGGAAGCAGCCGGGGTTGGGCCACCCACATTCGCAAGCCCGTGAGATCAGGTGTTTCGACCTGCTCTTCGCTTAAGGGCGATAGACCAATATCTTTTGAAGTGGGCTCTTGCTACTCCACTGTTGTTTTAGGGCCACCAGGAATGCATCAAGAGCACTGAGCAAGGTACAAACACTCGAAATCCACAGAACCATTGTGTGGAACTAATTACCCGCATTTGGGGGAATCCGGGAGCTTCGTATGAGGTATATACACCGAAAAAGGCAGGGAGAAAACCTCCATGCGAAAGAATCGGCCAAATGTTTGAATGGTGTGTTTTGGACTGGAGACTGGAGACTGACGACTGTTCATTGACTGTTCATTCCGTTTGGTGGAATTAGCAGACGATCTTGATGACATCGGGTGAGAACAAATCGGATGTTCATCTTTTTTTCTGGGAGAACATGTACACGAGTGTGTACATCATTGTCCTATATGCATTCAAACACACATTGGAATTATTCTGGTGGAACGTCCATTGAAAAGGTAAGGTTATAATTGATCATCATTTGGTGAAAGGACAAACACCGGTCCCTTAACCCCTCACTCAGGACAACAAACCTACAACATGACGAATGTCAGATTACACTCCTCCTAGAGGCATGCCCCATACATCTTGCACCCCCACAAATAGCCAGCATGTTCGATCATTTTGACCTCTTTCGGTTCCAAGAACGCGACATGAACTCCACAGAAATTCGACTAACTTCCATGATTTATCACCGATCTCCCCCAAAAAAGACATGCAGTACCAAGCAAGGCACCCCTCCTCCCCCGTCTCCGTCCGCATCGCCAAAGAGGCGACACCCACCCCTGGCGAACGCCCTCCACGTCGGTGGGGCATTCAGGTCTTCTGGATGGAGGAGCTCAAAGGCGGACCCATCTCCTCCGCGCGTGTGCGGCACACCTTGGCGGAGGAGAACGAGCCGCTGCTGCTCCTGGGCGTTTGCCGGGGACGCGGAGTGTCGACCCGGTTTCGGAGAGCGCAGAAAACCGGGGCGGTTTTTCGGAGAGCGCTTTGAAGGAGAGGGTTCGTGGTTGGACTTTTTTGGGCATGTGGTAAGAGTTAGGTGATGTTGTGGGGCATGTGGTGTGCGTCTCTATGGCCAGATCCCGCATGACGATCCCGACCGGCCGAACTTGAGCGTCCATGGGGGTTACCTGAAGACACATTCCCAACCAAACAAGGCAGAAAGATCTTGCACCAAACAGCTAGGCAAAGAAAACAGTTAATGGAAGAAGAAGTCCCTCTCAGACGACATGAAGAAGGAAAACCCTCGCAGTTCTTCCCCTAACAGCGTGGCCCCCAACAGAGCTCTCTTTCTTGCTCCAATACCTGGATATTCCATGATCTTCCAAGGTACCAGCTCTGCACTGAAGCAGTCGCGGATTACTTGTGGGAGTTTCGGCAGGACGGGGGGCGGCCGTGGCTGCTTCGACCGTGGCTGCTGCTGTTGATAGGTGTCCTGATTCTGTACTATAGGTATATATAGGTATCATGAACAATTGGAGGTTGCAGGTGCTTGAACAAGACTTTTAAACCTGACTCAGATCTGCAGGTGCATGATATCATCAGCATGCCCAGCCACACACACAGACCCTTGGTTATCTTGCTTGTGCTTCAAAGGTGTATACGCAGCCAGGTATCAGATACAAAATGACATCAGCGACTACAGTGTCCATGCACTTCCATCAAACCATATTGCGACAATCCGAGACACAGAACTTAGAACACAAACTAAAGAGTGTTCTGGGATACTTAAATCTGGTTTGTGTTAGAAGGTGTTCTGTATCTGGTAAGTAAGAGTGTTATCATACTGTACATTCATACTCAAACCATACTGAGACTGAGATCTCACTGCTTTCTCACCGTCCAAAGAGTTTCTCATCGGGCTGCTGGTCGGAGAAACAAATCTTGGCATCTCCCCCAGTTCGTTTGCGAGTGATTAGGAGCAACAAGCCGATGTTAACGCCTCACTATACTGTAGCCCCGGTTTTGGGATTCTGCCAGGTGGTGTAGGGATCCACCAAGAATCGGATGTTTGTGTTGGTTTAATCAAATGATTTCAAACACAGAAGCCCAACGGACCATGGCCTGGTGGAATCGGCATCCTCTCCAAGATGACCAGACCAGACTTTCGCCCGCCCAGCGGTGGGACGTCCTACGCTCGTCCCTCCCCAGGAAAAGTGAATCACTATTGAACCTTTTTGGGGATTGCTTTCCCCGCGAAATATGAATATGACAAAAGGTTCACTATAATCATACAGTGCACATTCTTGTGCTTAAGATATCTTAAGATTGTAGTTTTAGCTAGTGGTAGGGGCAAACTCAAAACTACATGCTTCACGTATTGGATGTTTTTTTCAATCGAAACGGCTCGGAAGTCAGCGCTTTTCAGCCTGAACGCTTCAGGAGCTCTTCTCCGAGAACGCCGAGAACGCCGCCGCGCCGTACGCCGCCGCGCCGTACGCCGCGTCCCGCGCGACGGGCGCGACGCTGAGCATGGACCGACCCGGTCCTCGCCCCTTGGGCGCGCAGAGCGGCCGGGTCACGGGAAGGAACGGAGGTCGGAGGCGAAGGGGTTGAGTGAGTTCATTGAGGGCTGAAGTGCCTGGTGATTTGAACGGATTCATGAGGATTTGGAGCCTGGTTGATTGGAGTCTGGGTGTGGGGACATTTCAGGACAGACAACTTGATACAAATTTGGCTGCTCAGATCCCTGTCAGACGGTTGTATCAAGGTGGGTTTTGAGTGGGACGGCGAGAGGGTATGATATGGTGGATTGATGTGCATGTTGGAGGTCAAGCACGGTAAAGCAATTTCTATCGCTCTTAGGAGGACATCGCTTCTAGAGTGGAGGTTGGAGGCCCCACAGGGCCCGCTACCGCTACCCCTTTGGAGAGCTCGACTTCGACGGTGAACGTTTGATTCAGAGTGATTCAGACGATCGGCATGTGTTCGATTGGCGGATGTTTTCGGCCAATTGCTTCGCCGAAACAGGACTGTCGAATAACTAGACCTAATATGGGGTCTCGTGGTTCGATCGTTTATAATCATAATGGTGGTTCGAGACTAATGGTAAATAATATTAGTGGTAATATTTTTATTATATCAATAATATTAGTCTTAGTGGTACATATATTGATATACTAATAAGTGGTTCTCGTGGTATTCACATATCGAACAGTGTTCACACATATCCAAGGCCAGATCGAAGAGGCGGACGCGAAAAAGTAGAGAACGACAGGGGTCCGGAGTCCGGAGTCCGGCTTTGTAGGTATCATTGTGTCTCTATAAGGCCATTGACGCATGTATGTTAGGACCATTGTCGGCTTCTTTATTTGATGTTTCGGTCAGGATGGA